AGTAACACTACCTCTTCATCCATTATCAAGACGCCAGATATAACTATTTAAACTAGCAGTGTTAACTCTATAATCCATACCAGGAGCTTGGAACCAGGGCTGTTGCAGGGGGAGGGAAAGGAGCCGGGAAGTCAGACAAAGGGTGCATGGGAACTGAAGCGTCAATGGAAGTCCAATCATCAAAAACCAGTTTGTAGTCTCTTTTTACAATCCAGCATCATCTTCATTCTCAGCCCCATTCCAAGTGACACAGCCAATTCTCCATCTCTGGTTTCCGCCGAGCCATTTACGACTGAAATTACGAAAATGTCTTTGGATTTATGCTTTATCTTAGAGAAATTGAATATTTTCCTTTGTTCGTTCCCATTTGGTTAAGATATCTGTTTGAACCTGTTGTTTAATAGTTTCTGTGAAATCAGGGCATAGCCTAGCCCCTTCCCATTCATACATACATCTCCTCATTCATATAGCCCACATCACCGCTCTTCTTCTAATACGGAACAGATTTTCCACAAATTCCTCATCATTTTCCACTGAATTTGGATCTGGGGTCCAGGTTTCTATAAGAATAACTTTCCAACCCCAAGGCCAAGGAACCTGTTGGACTAAATGCGACCAGATTCGATCCCACCACCTCCAAAGCCATACTCAGCCCGGACATTGCATAAAAATGTGCTCTATGGTTTCAGCATATATTCTACTTGGGAAAGCTGTTTTGCATAACTTACACCATCTTTCTGCTAGTCCTTTCTGTTCTAACGAGGATCTGTCAAGCAGCCAATCATTAACTGGTAGGCACCTATGTTCAATTTGCCATTGGAGAGAAGCTATTTTGACTGGTTTATCCTTGACTGTTTTAAACCACCTGACAGACCTTAATTCCTCCTTACTGATATTGAGATGTTTCATCCATCTGGTGGAGACCTTGTCTTTAAGGTTGATTCTAGCGCGAAGCATTCGGTATGCTGATTTGACTTTTAGTGAGTGAATAGTCCTTTTGAATGATTTGTTATGCCTTCATGTTCTTATAACCGAATTCCAAACCCAGTTAGCCGGGTCAAGAGGGAGTTCCGAAATAGGGCAGTCTGGTTTGAAGGCTACCCAAGAGTCCTTATTTCTGATTATCCTTATTCTGAAAATCTGTTGTGCCTTAACCCAACAGGTTTCCTCTTGCCCCTTAGGAATTACTACATTTGTGGATGACAAAAAGAAATTCTGCAGAAAAAAACTCCCATTTTGATCTTGGTCCAAAATTAAGTCAATAGACTGAGACTGAGTCTTGAAGGCTACCCAGTCATTTGCCATTAATTTAGGGTCTTTCCTAAGAATACAAAACCATTCAAGAGAGATGAGTTCAATAACCTTATCCAGTGCTTGCAAAGAATGATGACAGTACCTTAGCCTAGTCCTCAGTTTGGATGGGTCAATCCAATCATTGGTATCTATGTCCCATATATCCTTTACCCTCATAATACCATTTCTAATCCAACCCTTCGAAGGCGAATGCATATAATGAAGAACAAATCCTTGGGAATCACGAATCCACCTGTTATCAAAAAGAGGTTGTTGACACACTTTCTCCCACCTTTCTGGCGATAGCTTGTCCGTTAGGGGAAGTTGTCGCCAAGTTTTCAGCATGGAGACCCAAAAAGGATAATTTTTTAAATCAAGTCTGACAGCTTGTCTACTTTAAACTACCGATGTTGTTACAGGTTTAGACTTTCCCCTAGGAATAGTCCAAGAACGATTTTCCAATCAGGTCAAGGGGTCAATTCCTACGGGAGTTGGAGGAGCAAGCCTCCTGATTTGCTCCAAGGCCAATGGTGCCCATGGAGTCTGGGGAATGAATAATAGTCGTTGAAGCCATTGGATTGAAAGAGCCTTAACTTGGGTCAGAGGATTCATAATTCCCAAACCTCCTCCTACTTTTGGTTGGATAATGGACTGCCATGCTACTCTATTGATGACATTACTGTACTCATGATTACCCCTCTATGGATAAGCAGTTAGTTGTCGCTGGAGAGATTTAAGAGAGCGTTTATCCAAGGACCAGATTCCTAATTTGTACCATATAGATGCAAGGATTACATTGTTAATGATCATCGTTCTTCCAAAAATGAATGTATGCTTATTCTTCCACATTTCCATTTTAGACTGAGCCGGTTGGGAAATCCATTCATTGTGATTTCTTGTTTTTTTTTCAGCAGAAAGGGAAATCCCTAATAACCTAATTGGAGTATCCAGGGACAACCACTTTATCCTTGACAATTCAGCAGGTCGCCCACCTTGATGATGTATCCACCAGCCAGTTGTTTTACTACCCCAGTTGACTCTCATATTTGAGAGACGATAATTTTTTTCCATTATATTTTGAATTTCCTCCATATTCTCGTAAGTAGCATCAACCATAAGAGATAGGTCATCAGCAAAAAGAGAGCACACTGGAATTGCCTCTTCCGGTATGCTAGTAACCTATATTCTTCTAATATCCTTATGATGTCGCAAATTTGTCGTCAGTGTCTCCATAATTATGACAAAAAGGAAAGGAGTCAATGAATCTTCCTGTCTTACTGATCTTTCTAGTGGAATGGGGGAGGGGTACATTATTATTGACCATAGCCCTTGTTGTTGCATTATGATCCAAGATTCTCACCCATCGTCTAAAATTTGGACAAAAATTCATCTTCTCCAGACATTTGTCAAAAAAAAGTCAATCGACATGATTATATGCTTTCTTAAAATCGTTGAAAATAAAGCTGCATTGTGCTTGGATTGACGAGATATTTTAAGAAATTCATTCACTAAAAGAATATTGTCGTGAATGTTCCTTCCTGTTATAAATCCTCTTTGGGATGGGTGAATGATTTCTGGAATTATTGTAGTCATCCGATCTGCCAGTGCTTTCGCTATGAATTTGTATACCACAGTAAGAATGGTTATTGGACGATAATTTCTTATATTTGCCTTATCCCCTTTCTTATACAGTAGAGTAAGTACCCCTTGTCCTACAAATTCTCCCATTTCACCCGATTCTCATACTGCCTTGTAGTATTCCATAAGATCTTCTGACATAAGATCCCATGTTGATTCCCAAAATTCCTTTGGGAATCCATCTATACCCGGGGATTTATCTTCCTCCATCAATAGGAGTGCCTTCCAAACTTCTTCCTTTGCAAGAGGTTTATTCATCAATTCCTTTTGTTTCTCAGATAAAGATTTATTAAATGGGCAAAAAAAATCTTCCATCTCTAGGATGCGCTGTTCTCTAGGAACATGATTATTTTGTGAGGTGAAAAGAGATTTAAAAAAATCTCTGGCTATTTTAGAGCAGGCCGCAGTCGAGGTAACCAAGTCCTTATTGGGGTCTACTGGGTCCTGTAAAGCCTCAATGATAGTTCTTCCTGTTCTGGCTCTAGCCATGGCATAAAAATGTGCATCCATAGAGCCTTCCATGTTCTGTATTTTGAGCTTACCCCTTATTCTTAGTCCTTGCCATCTATACTCCATTTGGGTTAAAAGCTGGGACTCTAGACATTGGAGTTCCTCAGACATAACGTTTAGGACTACTTGGTCTACAACCTTTTCCTCCTTGTTCCAACTACCCTCAACTTGAGAAGAATCTCAAGGGCGGCCCTACACCGGCCCTTGACCCTGATCGTCATTAAAAAATCCTAGACTTCGTCTCATTCCACTACACCCTACAGTTCACGCTTGGGAAAACGAGCGGGAACATGTGCGGTGTTGGCTACTTCACGTGGTTCACCAAGGAGGTCCGTCATTGGCCCAGGACAACTGTAGTCGGGGGAAAAAAAAAAAAAAACCCTGATGGAGGGCGCTGGCGCCCTTTTCGAGGAAATTTGAGTCACCGCTGGGAGGTGACTCGAAAATTGGCCCGGTTTGCCTGGGTGCCCTATAGCCGCCCTTCACTTTCAGAGTGGGATTTTATTACAGCGGGAACGTTAATCACTTTTCAATCATGATTAGTGAATCTCAAGGGCGTAGTGGAATGGCGCCGCCCTTGAGATTTTCTCACGCCAAGGGTAGTGGAACGAGCCGCCTAACTTCGTTGTCGTTCCACTACACCCTACAGTTCGCGCTCAAAAAAACGAGCAAGAAAATGTGCGGCGCCGGCCACTTCACGTGGTTCACCACGCAGGTCCGTCATTGGACGACGAAAATTAAAAAAGACAAAAAATGGATGGGGGGACCAAACATAGCCTCTAACTACCTGGCAGCGTGCCCTGGTGCCGTTTTCAAGGAAATTCGAGTCACCTTTAAGGGGTGACTCGAAAATTGGACCCGTTGAGGAAATTCGAGTCACCCCTGGGACGTGACTCGAAACTTGGACCTCGAAAATTGGACCCGTTGAGGAAATTCGAGTCACCCCTGGGAGGTGACTCGAAAATTGGGCCATGGAACAGTTTGCCTGCGCGCCCTACAGCCGCCCTTCACTTTCAGAACGGGATTTTCAGAACGTTAATCACTTTTCAATTGTGATTAGTGAATCTCAAGGGCGTAGTGGAAGGGCACCGCCCTGGAAATTTTCTCAAGTAGAAGGTAGGGGAACGAGCCCCATAATTGTCTGCACAGGCCATTTCCTGGGTATAGATGCAAGTTGTATGCTGGGACTGCATATATAGGGTATTCCCATTTATCTACAAATGGGGTAACAGATGGAATTTTTCCTTTCAGTACACCCCTCCTTCGAAGTTCCCGCCACGAGGACTCAAAACAAAAAAAAAATAATGCCAACGCTCTGCCGCACACTGCGTGGCGTGTCGTACGCCATGAATTCCAGGGCCGCACGAGTGCGGCTCGTGGGGGGGCGGTTCACGTCTTGTCCCCCGCCTGTCGCACAGATGAGGTGTCACCGGGACAAGGACAGAGTGGCTTGTACGGCCGGTCGCCCAGCAGGGCTTGGAGATGCCGCGCAAGGATACCATGGCCGCCACCAGCGGCGGGGTCAATAGCCGGGGGGGACGGAGCGCATTGCGCGGGGTTTCCGACCCGAAAACCGCGCCAAAGCGGGAAGGGCGGCACGGCAACCACCATGGCGGAGGGCCACGCGACGTCTTTACTCCGGGCGTCGCCCGCCCCTCTGACCTGCGCGCCGTGGGCGGCAAGCCTACGGACGAAGCTGCTTCCGCCGCCGATGATTCGCTCGGCGTCGGCAATCCCGAGGCTAGAGGCGCGGTGCCATTTTCGCCTTCCTCCTCTGTTTTCCCGCCCGATGGAGACGAAGACGAAGATCAGAGCCATCTGCACGAGCGCGACCTCCTCTACTACCGGTCGTTCAAAGACCTTCGATCCGGTCTTTGTCTCCTCCATCTCCCCAGTTGGCATTACGTGCAACTGCGGCTGCGGCACTTTCGACGGCCTCGATCGCCCGCTCTTCTCCACCATATCGATCGATCCTGACCGTCGGATTAACTTCGCGACTACCCCTGTGATCCATAGCAGGGGTCAGGAGAGTGTGCGGCACTGCTGGTGGCCTGCTGACATGGCGGCTCGGCGTCCATCTATGCAATGGAGAAGACGGGGAGAAGGTCGAAGAGATGGCGTGTCAGAAGTGATGGCGGCCAGCAACCCCGTCGCTCCAAGCGCTCCCCCTGACGCCACGTGTTCCGCAGGAAGACGACACACGCCCGCTGGTGGTGGGGCAGGACGCGGACGCGGACTTGTCTACGTGGAAGTCGGCGGAAGGAGACCATCTTCTCCATCTCCTACACTTGCTAGATCGCACACTCGTGATGATGTCAGCACGGATCCCGTTGGCAGTAGCCGAAGTGAGAGGGATGCATCTGGGGCATGTTCAAGATCCGAATCCAGTCCAGGTGCATTGACGGCTCCAGACAATTCAGGCGGAGGTGAAGATGGGAATCATGGTGATGCTGTACGCAGCAGGATCTGGAGGGAAACGAATGCAGCTGGTGCACGACGTACAAGCGTCGAATCTGGACCAGGTGCACGTGCGACTCCAGGTGCAGGCTTGGTTCCAGGTGCGGGAGAGAGTGGAGATGGGGGTCTTGAGTTCTCTTCTTCGCGTTTCCGCAAAGGTGATCTCAGGCCCGACGGTTCTAGAGGAAAGCACCGTTGGGAGAGGAAGGAGGATCGTGCGGCAGGTGATCGTTCTGGTGGAGATCGGGCGATGGCGAATAGCGGCGGAAGATCGATGAACGGAAAAGCGATGGCTTCTTCTATGGCGGCGGCTCCGAGGGCATCATCAACTGTGGGACAGGAATATCATGCGATTCGAGGTGGTGGTGGTCGTGCGACGTCTCCAACGACTGGTAATCGTGGTCGTGCGACGTCTCCAACGACTGGTAATCGTGGTCGTGCGACGTGTCCAACGACTGGTAATCGTCATCGTCCTCCTATGGGACATCGTAGCGATGACAGGTTTCTTCGTAATGGACCAAGGACCAGAAGTCCCGATCCCGATCCTGTGGAGCAGGTTCGATTCGATGGTCGCGTTCCAAGGAATCCGACGGTTGGAATCATCGGCGGCGGATTGTCTGGCATCCTGTGCGCGCTGACCCTCGCTGAACATGGCATTCGCTCGACGGTGTTTGACACTGGCAAGCACGGGCTGGGCGGACGTATGGCGACGCGCCACGTGGATATACGTGGTGGCCATCGGCTGGTATTCGACCATGCGGCGCAGTTTTTCACCGTCTCTGAACCGCGTTTCCAGCGCCTTGTCGACGACTGGTTGAAGCGAGGGATAGTGAGGGAATGGGAGGGGGTTGTGGGTAAGATAACTGTCGGTGGGTCGTTTCAGGAGGAGAAGATGCCCCCCCCCTTGAAGAGGTATGTCGGATCGACGGGGATGCGCGACGTGTGCGACAGACTGCTTGAGCGACAACCTCTGATCACTGTCCGGCGACCGGTGTGGATCGGCACTATGGAAGCTCGGGGTGGCAAATGGGCGCTGAGCGAGAATGGGAGAGAGGAGGGAGAGTTCGATTTCGCCGTGATTGCTCATAACGGCAAGTGTGCCAATCGACTTCTCAAACCTGCAGGAGTGCCCTTCGTGTATGGCCAAATGAAGAGATTAGAGTTGAGTGCGATCTGGGCGCTGCTGGCAGCGTTTCAGGGGCCGTTACCTATGCCAGCTGGCGTGCGGGAAAGTGGACACGCGGCATTCGACGGAGCTTTCGTGGACGGCATCCCCAGCATATCGTGGATGGGCAACAACACGACGAAGCTGATGCAGGGATCGAAGCCCAACGGAAACAGCACTCGAGGAGGAAGACGAGAGGGTGGATCGCATTGCTGGACTTTCTTCAGTACGGCGGCTTTTGGGCGGCGGAACAAGGTGCCCCAAGAGAACATACCCCCGGAGAAGGCGACGAAGGTTCTAGGAGAGATGTTGAAAGGGGTGGCGGCGGCGTTAGGAGTTGAGCAGGCGGAGCTGCCGCCCATGGTGTGGCACAAACTGCAGCTATGGGGGGCGGGATTGCCGCTCAACTCCCCGAAAGTGCCGTGCATTTTCGATCCCGTCGGGCGCGCCGGGATCTGTGGCGACTGGCTCATGGCGCCTAGCCTCGAAGCGGCTGCTCTAAGCGGCCAGGCTATGGGCCGTCAGATTATGCGATTCTGCGAAGCCGGCGTTTCCGACCCAGGGTCGGGATCCCGCCATTTAGGTTCTATAGTAGCTGCGGGAAATGGTGGTCCCCCCGCCGTCCCGACGGCTGTCGGGATACCAGAGCCGTTGCAGCCGTTCGCCATGGGGCTGAGCGAGTCATTGCGTCGGCTGGAGGGAGGACATGACATCGGGCTGTTTCCGCATCCATAGGCCGGAGATCGGACTGCCTTCCCCCCCTTAGCCACGAGAGCCAACATGTCACTTCCTGCAGTCATAACGACGGGCTGAGCTTGCTATTCATGGAGGATAGGATATAGCCGATAGCCGATAGTACTCGGTGCAATAGCTAGCTACTTCTTCTCCTAGCCATAGCCATGAGAGCCGACGTGGCTCTTCCTGCAGCCATAGCCACGGGCTGAGCCGGCTATTCATGCAGGATATTGCCGATAGCCGATAGCCGATAGCCGATAGGCGATAGCCGATAGGCGATAGCCAACTTCGGAGCACTCGGTGGAATAGCAACTTCTTCCTTTAGTCTATAATAGCGATGAGAGACGACGTGCCTTTTCCTGCAGCCATAGCCGCGGGACTGCGCACAGGCGATTTACACAGGATGTACCCCGCAGCGCATAGCCGATAGCCGATAGCCGATAGCCAACCCGGGGCTATTCCTGCACCCATGGCCGAGGGAATCACTGGGTTTGCCATGCAGCCACGTCAGACTCTGCTAGCCGGTTCTTCTCCCTATGCATATAGGAAATGGCCGTTGCGGTATTCATAACGTCATTATAACCAGAAAGAGTCAGACAGCTCTCCCTGCAGCCCATGGAGTCAACTGATGGGCTCTCACGGCAGCCGTTCCGTATTCAGACAGTCCATCCATCGCCTGTTGGCCCACCCACCCACAGCCACAATATCCGGTGTGCTACTCCAGCACAGCTTTACTCTCACCCAACGGGTTATTCCTTCAGCCATAGCCAATAGCCACCGAGCTATTCACGCAGCCACAGCCAACGGCTAACGGCCAACAGGAAGAGCTTTCTCATCTTGGCCGTCGTCCGTTGACCGTTGACTGCCTGTGGCCGTTGGCCGTTGACCGTTGACCGTTTACTGCGGCAACCATAACCTGGAGAGCCCTAACGAGCTTTCTTTCCCTACCGCGGGGTAGGCTGTAGTCAAGGCCGGAACAAGTCCAGTGACTGTCCGTCTGTGGCTCTTTCAGCTGCTTCGTCTGTACAGAGCCCAATTCACTTGTGTATTTTTTTTTTCTTCTACACCCCATTTCCCCACCTCGTTCCCGCGATTGCCATCCTCCCATCCCATGTCGACGGCTGCTCCATAAAAAAACTAAGTCCGTCCTCCAACCATGGTGCCATCTCCTTCACGATCTATGTTGATTCCCTCGCGTCTGTCTACCAGGCTCAGCCCCCTGGAAGAAGACGTACACGTGTCTCTGGACCTCTTTGCTCGCCTAGAAAAGAAAAAGAACAAAGCAGATTGCAGCAGAAGCCTTAGTGCTTCTGTTACGAGTGAGTTTTACCTATACGAAGCTCACGTCTCTCACGTCCCCCTCTGCATTTGTAGGATTTT